CACGACCATCCTTCCGACACTCTCTTTTGATTGTGGCGGTGGCTTGCGCCTTTTGCGGCCCACTTTATTGCAACCGTCAGTTTCGGTGTTGATTGTGCACTTGGGTCAGTGTTGATCTCGTTTGCCCTCATTTTCCTGGCATTGAATAGAAATGCCCTTTCGCCCTAAAGCCTGAACCCTAAAACCTGAAATCCTGTAAACTACAGTGGACCGCCAAAGGGAAAACCGTAAGACCCCGGCACCCCAAAGCTCGAAATCCTAGATGCCAAACCCCCACTCAAGACACCCAGTCCCAACCCCTGAGCTTTGGAAACTCCTTCTCAAACCCTGCCGAAATGCTTAAAAGCCTTGTAAAGCACTATGAGACCCTAGACAAATGCCATGTGAGCCATGAAAAGCCCTTTAAGCCGGCATAAAACAGGTAGTTCTCTAAATCAGGGCCCCGTTTTAAAACGGTGCCGTGCTATTTTGGGGACCCTAAACCTCAAACCCTAAGAGAACCACCCTAAACCCTGAACCCTAAACCCTAAACCTTAAAGCCAAAAACCCTAAACCCAAACCCTAAACCCTAAACCCTAAACCCTAAACCCCCTCCCCCCCCCAAAAAAAAAATAAACCTAAACCCTAAACCCCGCGCAGGTCTCCGTCGGTAACATCGCCTCCTACTTGGCAGAGGCAGCCAAGGCTAGGCTCGAAGCCAAAGTTCACATCACCTGCTCCCTGGTCGGAGGTTGGGGGCTTTAGGGTTCTAGCGTTTAAGGGTTGAGGGTTGAGGTTTCAGGGTTTAAGGTTTAGGGGTTTATAGGGTCTAGGGTTTAGGGTTTTAGGGGTTTAAGGTTTATATAGGGTTTAGGGTTTAGGGTTTCGGGTGTTTCGGGTTTATACAGGGTATGGGGCCCAGGCTTTAGGGTTTAGGGTTTAGAGTTTACCTTAAGGCTCGGGTCTTGGGCTTTCTGGGGGAGGTTTTAGGGGGTAGGGTTTAGGGTTTATATAGGGCTTAGGGCTCAGACTTTAGGGTTTAGGGTTTATAGGGTTTAGGGTTTAGGTTGTGGGTTTAATATAGCTAAAAGGGTTCTATAAGGGTTTAGGGTTTAGCGGCCTGAATAATTAGAATAGGGTTTTGAGGTATATTATACTGTGCTTATAATAAGGACCCCCCCAAAAATAGTATAGTTAATTATTAAGGCCCCTACATTAATCCCTAAGATAAGGAGCCGCCGCAATAGTATTGGAAGTTATTTCGGCTTCCAGTTAAGGGACAATAGGAGGGACCACTAGAAGGGACCCCTAATCCTAATACCCTATAAAACCCTTAAAACTTATATATCCCTTATATAGCCTCATAAAGCCCCTCTAGTCTAGAACCCCAAGGGTTATTTTAAGGGTCCTTCCTTTAGTCCAATGATCTAGATTATGGTTCTTCGAGGCTTTTTAGGAGTTTAATATAGGGGCCTTAATATTTAGAGTTGGGGTTTGGGGTCTTTATATGCTGTAGCTATCATAAGGAACCCCAAAACCCTGTTCCAATTGTCAAGGCCCCTACATTACCTAAACCCTAAACCCTAAACCCTAAACCCCCCTAAACCCTAAACCCTAAACCGCTCTTTGGAGGGCTTTTCCTTGTAAGGGGTTTCAGTCATGTTGAGGATCCTGGGGGCTGCCATCAGGCAAATGTGAGGCGTTGCCTTGTTTAGGGTTTAGGGATTGTAGTTTAGGGTTTAGGGGTTAGGGTTTAGAGTTTAGGGTTCAGGGAGTTTTCTCATTCTTTGTACGGAATAACCCTCACCTCTAGCCCATCATCCTCTCAAGCCTGCCCCTTAGTCAGGGACCCGGGATTAAGCTCCCACGTTCGGAGCTGAGGCTACGACAAGCCGACGCGAGCCGTCATCAGCGCAGCTTACCAGCACTTGATCTTTGAGGGAACTCCGCTTAGCCATGGTTGTGGCTAGTTAGGGTTTAGGGTTTAGGGCTTGGGGTTTGCAGGGTTTAGGGTGGTTCAAGATTTTAATTCAGATGCTTAAAAACCCTGAAACCCTGAAACCTAAACCCTAAACTCATTGCCTCAGTGTCCCCTTCGGTAGTAGCACGGAATTCCTTAAACATCCCATATAGTGCAAGCCTTAACCCTACGGGTACCTAATAATCATATACTCTCCCAAAAATTAAGCCTAGAAAACTACCCTCCGCAACCAAAGGACCTTATTATTGGGTCCTTTGCACCCTTAGAATAGCGGCGTCTCCCAATCCTAAACCCTAAACCCTAAACCCTAAACCCCTCCCTTTTCCTTTTTTATTGTAGGGCCTCCTTACTCTGCACTGCTGGGGAAGCAGAGTTGCCAACGCAGCGACTGCTAGCATTGTGTTCTTTTGGGTTTAGGGTTTCGGTTTAGGGTTTAGGGTTTAGGGTTTAGGGTTTAGGGTTTAGGGTTTAGGGTTTAGGGTTTAGGGTTTAGGGTTTAGGGTTTAGGGTTTTGGTTTAGAGATTACGGTTTCTTGTGTTGTAAGGCCAGTCCTGTACTTCACGTTCTGGTACGTGTGGTTTGCTGTAGACTGCTCCAGCTCCACAGTACAGAAGCGGGGGTGGGGGGGGGAAACTTGTCTTCAAACAAGCTGCCCGCCATCAGGGCCTACCCCTAAGGCTCTAAGGACTCATATTTTAAGGCTTTGGGCCCAAAGACCATACTATATAAGGCTTTTGGGCTATATTGAGCCTTAGGGTGCAAGCCCGTGCAGGACCGCAAGTGTTAGGAGTCTCCTGAAATGTAGATCCTGAAGCCTTAGACCCTTCACCCTCACCCTAGGCCCCATTTGTTAACCCATATTATCCCAATACCCTATACAACTACAAACCCTAAACCCCTATACCCCAAACCCTAAACCCTAAACCCCTAACCCCCAAACCCTAAACCCCTAAACCCCACCCACATTTCCTTAAATCCCTACCCACAGGTTCCATAGCAGTTCCTTTTTGGGACTCCCTAATAGGATCCTAAATATAAGCTACAAAATGGAACTACTTTGGGGCCTATATGGGTAAGCCTTGAATCCCTAAGCCCTAAACCCCCAAAACCCTAAACCCTAATTATTAAGGCCACAAATGTAGAACCCTACTATAGATCCCTTATAGACCCTAAACCCTAAACCCTAAGCCCTAAACCCAAAGCCCTTCCAGATTCTGGTGATCCTGGTCTCGGCATCTCTGGGGGGCCTTGTCTTCAAGTACGCCGGCGGCGAGGACAGCCACATGCGAGGGGGGCTGCACCTGCGCCGGGGGGGGGTATGGGGTTTAGGGTTTAGGGTTTAGGGTTTAGGGTTAAGGGTTTAGGGTTTAGGGTTTAGGGTTTAGGGTTTGGGCTTTAAGGGTTTAGGGTTGAGGGGTTTTGGTTTTAAGGGTTAGGGCCGGGTTTGCCTGAGCCCTGCGTTTGGGAGTTTAGGGTTTAGGGTTTAGGATTTAGGGTTTAGGGTTTAGGGTTTAGGGTTTAGGGTTTAGGGTTTGGGCGGCTTAGGGTTTCAGTTCGTGCACAGGGTCACGGAGTTGGGGTTTCACACATTTAGGTCAGTTTAGGTCTACGCCTTCTTGAATAGATCTGTAGTTCTCCAAACCAGCGTCTACAAAACAAGTTGCCCAAACCCGAAACCCTCAACCATTAGCCCTAGAAGGCAATGAGCCTTAAACCCGATCCGTTACACCTTAAACCCGAAAAGGCCCTCAACCCTAAACCTGGAGCCTTAAACCGGACACCAAAGTCTCAAACCTTACCCTAAGGCTCTAAGGACTCATCTTGTAAAGTTTTTTGGCTCAAAGACCAAAACATATAAGGCTTTTGGGCTATGTTGAGCCTTAGGGTTAAACCTTAAAGAGATCGCGTGCCGGCAGGATTGGAGTTTCAACGAAGCATTGTACTTTTCCGCAGCCGGGTGGCAGCTCGGGATTCGGGATGTAGAGGTGCAGGTCTTCAGGGCTTACGACTTTATTCGGGTTCGGGATGTAGAGGTGGACTTTATTCGGGTTCGGGATGTAGAGGTTTAGGGCTTTAGGGCTTCTGGGCTTGGGACTTTGGGGTTTGGGATGTAGAGGCTTTGGGCTTTAGGGCACTAGGGCTTCTGGGCTTGGGACTTTATTGGGGTTCGGGATGTAGAGGCTTAGGGCTGTAGGGCAGGCTTCAGGGCTTTGGGTTTATGGGCTGGGTATGCGACTTTGGGGTTCGGGATGTAAGGGCTTAAGGCTTCAGGTCTTCAGGCTTTGGGGCTTCAGGGTTGCAGGAGTTTCCGGCTTTAGGGCTTTGGGGTTTTTGGGCCGGGTATAGGGGTTTGGGGTGGCTAAGGTTAGCTATGTTCGTGTGCGGGCAGGAAGTTGCGCGAAGGCCTGTGAAGTTTGAAGTTTAGGGGCGGGCTTGTCCCCGAAATTATCAACACGCATTTGAAATCCTTGCATCCTCCCGAAACCATGCCTGGCGACCCAAATATGCCCAAATCCGTCAATCAACGCGACATTCCCTGAAACCGATCAGCTTCACTTGAGCTGGCTGGCAGCCCTCAGCGACAAGAGCAACCTATAGTCTCCTTTGTAGTTCCTTTTTTGGTTTAACCAAGTATAAACTAAGGACTTTATAAGGTATCCCCAAAAAGGAACTACAATGGAGACTACAGGAAGAATGCGCGGGTCTTCAGGGCCCCCTTGCCTTACAGCTCCAAGTTCGATGAAGCAATCAGACCGGGCATCCAATGGGGCAAGAAAGCAGCAGACATTCGGGAGCTTCCGAAAATAAGGGGTACCTTATTTAGGGGTCCTTATAATGAGGATCCTACTATTTAGGGTACTATATTGGGTCCCTTATTTTCGGAAACCCCCATTCTTGTTCATCTGGGTGGTGACGATGGCATACTATAGTATGAGAACCCCACTTCCACACACCCCAAATCTTATAATCCCTGAACCCTCTTCCTGAACACTACTAGACGTTAATTCCTAAACCCTAAACCCTAAACCGTAGCCTTACTTCAGACAGGTAGTCACGATGACCACCGTCGGCTTCGGTGACTTCGCGCCGCGCCTGGGCGGCTCAAATCCCTAGAAGCTGACCAACCCTAAACCCTAAACCCTAAACCGATAGCCTTCAGAGTTTGGGGGTTCCGAGGTTCCTGCCACTACTGGGCGTCGCATTGCTAATTCATCGCAGAGTTTCTTCTCGTGCTGAGTTTTGTGGGAAGTTCTACAGCACTTCGTTGGCATTGATGCTTTTGCAAACGCCGGAGGGGTTCTAATCTCGGGAAACTACTTGTTGGATGCTTGAACAGGGTCATCATTGATCGTTCTTTCTTGCTGCGCGGTTTGCAATCGAACATGTTCAGAAGCCTCGATGACGTAACATTCAGGACTTCGTGCGTCTACGTAGTGTTCGGTTTGTTCGGGTAATGTGGTACGGCAGTCATAGAAGGCGTAAAAACTAGTTAGTAATGATTGCTTTCTATGTTGGCCAATAGCCATAAGGCAATGCTTGGAAGTGTTGCAGGACAGTATGCGTGTTTGGACACGCACATCTTAAGTGTTCACCACCTCAGTGTATTGCAGCAGCTTTACAGTGCAGAGTATGTTGTATACTAGATAGTAAACTACACTGCAAGTACTGACTATACTATATACGAGGTAGCATACTGTACTACAGAGTATATGACGTGCTGTATAGGATGGTGTCCATATTCATGTCATGTACATATATGTATACACATACTTTGATATACTGTAAGGCTGTATAGCAAAAAAGGCTACTATATTTTGTGCCACGTATTGCACAGTATTAATTTGGATACAGAGAGCTTCTATGTAGTAGACACTACGTTATAAAATAGATTATGTAACTAATACATTTACATTTCATATATATATATATATGCATATATCGATACAAAACTAGTATGATAAAGCATATGGTACTGTATACACACTACTACATGCAATTCTATATTGAAAACAGTGTCTTATTTTGTATACGATGAAATATACTAAACAGTACGCCTTGTAGAGGAGTTGACAAGTGGCTAGAACAAGCTCCATGATTTCATGGAAGGGGAAGGTCAGCCAGGGTTGGGGGAACCACCAGGGTTAGGGAAGTAAAGAAGGTGAACCCTGGGAGTGCACTTGCACCCCACCCATCCCGCAACCCCAACCTCCCCAAACCCTTTCAGCGATCAGATGAAGGTACTACTAGTACTACTACTACTAC